TCAGAGCAGAGTCCAATTATGAAGAAATCCACAAAATGTACCACAAACATTGCGTCACCAGTAGCCGGAACTGGTCAACAGAAGATGTCCGATCCTGCTCCACGACATCGCCCATCCGCAAGTTTCTTGGTTGGTTGGTAAGTGATAAACTTCTACATCGCTCAACCGATCGTGATGAAACTTGACATGTATAAGTAATTTTTTATAGAGAAGGTTTTTAGACTATCAATTTTTCTGTAACTCGCCACTAGATGGCGCTGTAGGACAATGTTTTGAAAGCACTGTTCTAAAACGCTGCGCCCGCCTAAGGTCGTTGATTCTGATTCTGTCAAAACATTGGAACAGCAGCGATACAGCAACATAGTACTATTTAGTACTACAATTACCAAATTCTACGCGGGCGAAGCCGCGGGCAACAACTAGTATAGAATAAATAAAATAACTTTTGTACAATTTCTACTAAGTTTATCATTTGTTACGACCAGTTTCGGTTTATTAGACCATTTAAAGTAACAGTTACTTGAAAATGCTTGTTTCACGAAATATGTAGTCGGCAAGATGGCACAGAAACGTAATATTGATTCTGCGTCTGTCCCCTTTCCATTGCGAATTCAATCCCATTGAACCCGTTTTGGCACAAATAAAATGTTTTGTTCCAAGAAAAAAAATATGTCAAAATACTCGTTGAGGAGTCCTTAAAAAATGTCGATTCTGAATAATCGCGAAAATGTACCTATTGGGATGCACTGTTTTGAACCTTTGGTGTGTGTAGTAATGAATATTACTGGAGTTTTTTCGGATTTATAGGATTTATCTGATGATAACACACCATAGTTTTTGCTAATATCTTCTTGAATGAGCATATCAATTTATTGTTATGAGAATATTTCAATATAAAATGTTAAAATAATTGTATATAAGTAAATAAACATAGTTATTAGTTTCAACAAGTATTTTTGATTAAATACTCGAATGCATGCCACTGCAGGTATAAAATGACCCGAAAGCTCATTGCGACTCGTTTGGGATACAAAATAGGGTGAACCTGGTGAAGTAATAAAAATCCTCCTATACCAGCTGTGGCAAATCATGAAATCATAAAATTTTGTTTGAACGTTTTGCATTTATAATGAGTATTCGTTACTTTTAGGAAACAGAATTGAATGAATTGCCTTTGAGCCTCTACTCAGAAATATTGAAGTGATGAGAAAGATGATATCANCGAGTTTAAAAAAATCCTATTTAATACCCCCTTCTCTGGGTCCGATAATTTATCTATATCATCTAAACTACTAATAAAAGTTAGCATGAAATTCTCTTTTTCCCTTCCTCCCGTTTTGGACTTCAAATACTCTATCATTGGCTCTGCAACTTTTTGAGCCACCGATTGGAGTTTCCTTTTCTCCCCTGCAGATGCCGAAGTTGATGGAATCTCTTCCGCAACATTTCTTTCCTCTGCGACTACCTCTGAAGTCTGTTGAGTAGTATTCTGGGTTGATCCTGGGTTGTATCCTGGGCGGTATCCTGGCTTTCTTCATTGCTTATACTCGACCTATGGCTCGAGGTGAAGTCCCGAAGAAACTGCATAGCCTCCAAGAGGTACCACTTTCTTTTCTTTCCTTCCCTGCTGCCTGAGGGTGTTTCTGAGTCCCTCATAACCCGATTGTAGGAGCTCCTCAGATTGGTCCACTTGATCTTGCAATCAGAAACTGCAACATAGAAATATAAAAATGCTGTATTTATTGATTAGTTACACAAAATTTCAAGTACTAAAAAGTGTCATTGTCTTTCTTGCAACAGGAGAATAATTCAAGTCATTGCACTACCATTTTCGTCTCGGAAAAAGGACCATATTCAGAATAGTTTATGAAGTTTCCCAGGCAATTTGGGATTTAGGAGGTCCGATTTTTTTAAAGACACCAACTAATGAGAAACTGTTGGAAGTTGCAGAGAAATTCGACCATTTGTGGAATTTTCCTAACTGCTTAGGAAGAGTGTGAGTTTTTTTACTATAAAAAATTCCATTCAATTGTGTTACAAGCTGTAGCAGATGCAGATGGGAAATTTTTATTTATTGATGTAGGATTACGGGAGAAACAGTGACGGGGGAGTATTCAAAAATTCCACTTTTGGAAAAAAATTGAGTCAAGGTTTTGATTTACCCAGAAGAGAATTACCATTTGTTTTTGTTGGAGATGAAGCTTACCCATTGAAGGGCAATTTGATGAGGCCCTACCCTAGGAGAAACTCAACTCCTGAAAAAAGGGTTTTTAATTATAGACTTTCTCGTGCCCGTGGAGTAGTGGAGTGCGCTTTTGGGATGTTAACTGAGAAGTTTGGTTTCTTGAAAACGGAACTTTTGCTGCCACTCGATAAAGTGGTTATATTAACGTAGCAGCATGTGTTTTACACAACATGTTTCGAGAAAAAGAGGGAAACATCTCTGACATTCATTGCGCTCTCGAATTTGGAGATATACTGGAGCCCAGATTATCGAAGGCAGCAGATCCTACTTCATCTTCTTCAACTGGTCATGTTATTCGGCAGCGGTATTTACAATTAGACTCAACAAATCGTTTCTGGTCACAGGAAGATGATGGAGGTACTTCAAAAGGCATTGGACCAGAGCCTGTCACTTGCATTGGATACTGAATGAGTGGCATTCATAGATCCTTCGAAAAATTGCACCAAACAATTGTTAGACTACAGAAGGGATGATCTAACAGGCCTGATTACAGGTCACTCCTGTCTGAATCATATGAAGATACTTTGACTACCACTGTCTTATGTTACGGCGTATCCTTCCTGTGATGATGAAACAGCAAAGCACCGTCACCGCTGCGATCCGATTCAGGTTTTCAGTGTTTGACTGAGTTTCACTCACCCCATCGAATCCGAAAGCTCATTCAAATAACTAGTCAGCTCCATTGAAAGCTAGTTTGTGTTGGAGTGATTCATAATAAACCCTTATATAGGACAGTGGAAAGTCACTCCAAACATAATCAATCTCATTGAACATAACCTAGACATTAGGTGTCACATAACCATTAGGTCTTAATGGTTATGTGGCATAATGTGTTTCATCCGATTCGACTGAGTTCAAGTTAAAACTTGATTCGTCGTCTGTTCAGGTAGCATTTTCGAAAATAAAAGCTCGTCCCTTCTTTCTCGTAGATACAGATCATAAAAAAGGGACTCTCAACTCTTCATTACTCTACAAATTTTCTGCAGAATCTTTCTTGTGTGAGATAAAATACGTGTTTGTTTGGTAAAAGTTTCTTAAAAGTGAATATAGTAATAATTTAAATACTGTTGATGTTGATTTTTGGATGTGCATGCCTGTTTCTGTGATATACGATTTGAAAATTGATCCTTTTACTGATCGGAGCAGGACATTTAGACCTCAGCAGTTTGACCTAGTCGACTCAAACCCAGTTATTCGTTTCCGATGTCGTTTTAGTCCCACACGTTCGACTCGAGATGTCTCCATCCCAAAGTCTGAAAAGACACAGTCTGAAAAAGTACACATATTTGTGACCTGGTTATGCCCTAATTAGTGAATTATTAAAAAAGACTGTTGTAATTGTTCAGATGAACAATGGGTATAACCTCTGGGGTGGAAACAGTTGGGGCTAAATATAACTGGGGTTGAATCAGTTGGGATCAAAACGTCACATACTCTCACTGATTCAATAAACTTTTTTATTTTTAGTCATTACTCATGATAAGCATGAGTAATGAACAAAATTTATAACACTTATTACATGATTTTATTCACCCATTTTTAAGCCCCTTGTTTTCATCTATAGCTACGCCTTGGAACCGATATTTCCCGTATCGTATTTTTATATCGCATACAATCATAATTAACTAATTTTAGCTCGGTAATTTTCAGTTCGAACTTGAGGAAAATTGCACACCTTGACTTGATGATTTAGACAGATTTTAGCAAGGTTTTCACATTAACAGCACGAAAGCTCGTGCTGGAGGCCTATATATTTAGAACAACGCTATTGTGGAAGTTTTTTTAGAAATACTCATTAACGATGAACAATATTATGATCATCGTAAACATTTAGCAATAATAATAATATGTTTTGAAGTAGAACTTATTTACGCGCTTTTGACTTGAGTAAGCTGGTGAATGCGTGACGAGAGCGTTACGAAAAGTGTGATCGGGCGAAGCGAACGTTGAAGTAAAACTTCTTTTCCCGCGCTTGACTTGGGGAATAAGCTGGTGAATGTGCGACGAGAGCGTTACGAAGTGTAATCGGACGAGACGAACGGAAGTTGAGAGGAATGAATAATTTAGTGAAGATTGAAAGAGAAAGAGTTACGTTTCATATATTACTGCAGGGGCAAGAGAGAGAGAGAGAGAGGTACGAGCACACATTTACGATCGAGTAGGCTCTGAAAAATACGTCAAGCAGGAGATTTCAATGTTAATTGATAAACTTTCTATAAGATAAATTAGAAGTNACCATTTTTTTTCATATATTGCCGTTTTGCGTTTTTCGCTTATCAACCTCATTTCACTTACCTATACAAACAAGCTAGCAGACATTCAATTCGTTGTAATAATAATCACAAAAAATAGAGAGGTGATTGCATATCAAACCATAAACACTTTCAAGATATTCCAAGTGTGATCTAACGTTTATGAATTTGCATTTTGAATAGGCATTATTACTAATTGAAATATTGACTCCAATAAACATTTCAACAGTAATTTGGCAGAAGTTCATATAACTTTCCTGACGAAAATAAATATTTATTTAAGAAGTCAGTTTAAATGTGTGTTTAGCTTGATTGGATCGGATCTTGAATACCATTATTTTCTCAACAGTTTGTTAACTTTAAAAATCAATTTATTTTTATAAGCGAAGGCGTTAATGAAATAATTTTTGTTCGCCAGCCCCCCGGCCAGTACCACCGCAACCGCTATGTCCCTCAAGCATAAAGTTTATGCTTGAGCATAAAGTTTATGCTTGAGGAAGCTATTGTAAAGCGAAACACGTGTCGCGGGTTTTGTAAAACCCTTCATAGTGAAAATCATACATTAAATTGTATTGATTAGTTTTTTTTTATTTCATACCTATATCTTCATCTGATAGAATAATAAACACTGCCTACTTTAAAAATCAGATTCAAAAATTTACCCCTCGATTCATGGGATCTTCCCATCAAGACGCTCAGGAATTCTTTCGATATCTTTTAGAAGGTTTACATGGGGACCTCAATGGAATTACTGAGAAACCTGAACCGATCTTAACGGAGATTGACCAACAGCGGAAAAGCGCAAGAGTCCTGGCTGAGATACTCGAACATGAACAACATTAAGATTGTAGACAATTTCGTTGGTCGATTAAAATCTACTATGAAGTGCACACACTGTAGATTCTTATCAGTAACCTTCGATCCTTTCTGGGATTTGTATCTCCCTATACCACAAATAACTGACCAATTAATTTTGTCACAATGCTTGGATTTCTTCACAAAAGAGGAATCCCTGGCTGGAGATGAAAAAGCAATCAGTTCAAAATTCAAGGAAAGAAGAAAATGCACAAAATCCCTATGAATCCATAAGTTTTCGCGTATTTTATTAATTCATTTAAAAATATACTCTCCAACGAAAAGATTCAGAGGCAAACTGAATGCTGCCATTCAGTTTTCTTTAGGAGTATTAGATACAAGCAATTTTGCAGCAGACAATGTGGCTCCTTATCGTTATAATCTATATACACTTTCGAATCACAGTGGTACTACTTACAACATTATACAGCATATTGCAGACACTCTTATAGTGGCAGGTGGAATGAATACAACGATTCACACGTGTCCTCAATTTCACCAAAATAGTTTGTGGGTGACGAGTCATATATCCTCTTTTATGAACAGGAGGGAATAAAGCAACACTTTTGAGGTGGTTTTTTCCTTGTCTCTTTTAATGAGCTAAAGTCTATTAATTGATTTGTATTTCATGATTCTTCTAATAATAAACGTTGAAGTTTTTACTGTAGTTATTTTCTTTCTCTTGTTCAATGATGAACAAGTAGAAATACAAAAATCTTTTCCCAAAAAATTCATTTCCTAAAAATATCCCCCTTTCAATTTATCATACCCTACCATTACTTACATAATTACGATATTCTTTCATATAATTTGAAAGCATTTTTCAATTGTCAGACTAAGAAAATTGGCACCAGATTTGTCGAAATATAGTGACGTAAACGAAAAAATTAATCGATTTAACTGATCTACATAAGCATATGTGAATTGTCAACACGATGTTACTCAAAATGTCAAAAATGTGTCAGTAACATTTTTTTAATCATTTGCGTGAATGTATTTTTGTTTGGTAGAAATTAGAACTCGAGAAATATTTCCGCATCAGTGAAGCAAAAGGAACCGTAAATTGGAAAAATGTTGGTCCACTGGAAATCTTTGATAGGCTTCGGTTTGGTTTTTTGGGTACTGTTATGTGTCACTGATTTTTTGGGAGGAAAATCCAGAAGTTATCATATGATAGACGATGAAGACCTCATCTTGATTAATAATTTGAAACGTCATGAGAGTAGTCATGAAATTAAAGTGCTAAAATTCGGATGGAGACTGGCACTTTGGAATTTCATCGCATTCGCTATTTCACTCGTATTTTGTAGCTTCGCGAAAATCGTTTTTTGGTTCTTTTGGAAGATTTTCATTTACT